AAGCATGCATACAAGGTATATTCCTTATCATAAAGGAAACAATGCCAAAATTGACTATAACATCCTGGTTACCATACATAACAGGATTAACTACGCCTTTCAGATTATAACATCAAAGGGAACATTATTGAAAAATAATCCGAACAAAAAGTATATTGAAGACTGAAAGGTTGGAGATGAAGGCACAGAACAGAGATAGAATTTAGCCAAGAATGTGAAGTTGAGAAAGATTTTATTGAGGCAGGGATAGAACTCCATGGAGGTAAGAGAGAGCAGGGAAAGGCTGGGGGGAATTTTGAGCCCCTGGGCGGGTTCCACAACTTAATGAGTTAGGTCAGGGAAGTCACACCTGGTACTGGGGCAGCGGGACGTATATAGGGTATGAGCTTAAAGGCATATGGGCAGATAAGAGGAAGGGAGGTTCTTTTGCTGCGGTTGCAAGTCTTGGGCCAGGTGACATCCTGTTAGTAAATCATGTTGTTCCTAGGAAGCAGTGCTCTGGAGAGGGGGGCTGTGTTCTGTCTGGGGAGGTCAGCTTGTTCCTAGGAAACAATGCTAGGGAGAGGGGGGCTGTGTTCTCTCTGGGGAGGTCAGCTTGTTCCTAGGAAACAATGCTAGGGAGAGGGGGGGCTGTGTTCTCTCTGGGGAGGTAAGCTCTGTGAAATGCTGAAGGCAGGTGCTTTGAAATTCAGCCAGGTCATTTGTCTTCTGGAGAAGCTGGTACAAGGGGGCTCCCTTGGTCCGGACCCAGGCCAAACAAAGACTAGCCGAAATTAATTGTAATGTCCAGAACCTGGGAACGTAGGAGTGCATCTAAAATTAATCACCAGCAGAGACTTTCCCATAAGGGGAGGAAAACCTGGCAGGTCAACTAGCTGTCAACTTTCTGAGATGCGAGGGAGGAACAAGAAAGTCACTTAGCAGCTAACAAAAATGGGAGTTTCTTTTACTAGTCTGCCTCACATTGCACTTGATCAAACCCCACCAGGCAATCTACACCCTCCTTGCCATCGATTTTAGAGCCTGTCCTTGGGTTTGTTGGCTCCTCCCTACTTTCCCACACTTCCTTCTCTCCCTTATCCCCCCAGAACTATCAGTCCCATTGTTTTCTCTTCTGGATTGTTTATTCTGCCTATCTTATATAGATATATACATGAAAATAAAGAAAAGAAATAAACATAAAATAGCCTATGAATAGTTCCAGGTTTGTCTCCTGACCCTTATGAATGTTTTCCGATGAGGTCTGATGCAGTGCCAAGCCCTGCCCACCTCCACCCCCACCCACCCCCAGTCCAAAGTCTGTTTTCAGATTTCCTTGGGGACTTTGTTGCTTTGCTCCCCTTGCTGCTCTGTTGCTCTCCTTTTGTGTTATGCCATGGTTTGGGGGAGAGGTAATAAAAGAGCAAGGGCCTTTAATGTTCTTCACTTTCCACAAGAGATGTTGTGTCATCTGCATATCACAGCGTGTTAGACTTCCTCTGATCCTGGCCAGGATCTTCATATAGTCCAGCTTCTTCGATTATTTACTTAGCAAACAGGTTGAGTGGGTATAATGAGAGGATACCAGCATGACTCCTTTCCTTGTTCGGTTCAAACAATTTCCACCTGAGCACAATGAAGTATTACAAAATTCCCATTCTCTTCAATGGTATTCATGGTATGTTGTAGTCCACATGTAACAAGCGACCAGTGATGTAGATCGGTACAGGAGATATGCTTTGATGTTTTTTTCACCAGTGAATGCCAAACAGTTTTAATGCAAACAAGCAGAGTTGGAATTTTAATCATTGAAAAACCATGGTCTGACTCAGAAAATATAAATAGTTTAATAAGGAGGTAGTGAGCTGAAGAACTTGTTGAGGTAAAAGAACTGGTGCAGAAGTAAGTACAGTGAACCCTCGCCACTTCGCGCTTCGACTTCCGCGGCTTCACTCTATCGCGGTTTTTGCGTAACAGCGCATGCTCTGTCATT